AGGTGTCGGGGAATTTCCGAGTGATATGTGTCCCTTTCTGTTATTACACAACAAATTACCACAAAATCGGAGGCTTTGAATAGCACACATCTATTAATGCACAATGTGGTGAACACGGCTTGTACTGGGTGCTCTGTGGAGCTCTCAGAAGGCTGCCACTCATGGCCCACTGGCTGTGTTCATCTGGAAGCTTAACTGGAGAAGGACCTTCCGTCACGGCTGTGCGCAGGAACATTTTCTGGTGGGTTAGGACCAGGCACCAGCCTCTTGCTACAGAACGATTGGAGGCTGCCGTCATAGAGGCCCACCGGGCTTTGCCATAACGGCCACGGCCCCCTCATGCCAGCAAGGAGCCTCACAAACCATAGCCGTTAGAAGCCATCGCCGTTCTCCCCCACACAAAGGGATGCAAGCTGAGGATCACAAAGGCCACCTTAGGGTCCGTCCCCTGCGTCCAGGCAGGAGCACACGCGGAAGCACGTGGAAGGGCATTTGGGAGCAGGCAGGTCAGGGTGAGCCGGCTTCACCACCCCATCTGCCCTGATGCTCACATAAGAGGCGCCGAAGCCCAGGAATTTGGCCACATGATGGGGAGAGGAGTAAGTCTGTCAAGTGCACATTTTAACTACTTCCCTGATACTGATTTTGTTAAGTAGATTCATTGGTATAAGTGCTGCGGGAGCCCTTATCATGTGTTTTAGAGTGCAAGAGAGGGGAGCAAATAAGCTAGCCTGCAGGAATCTTCAAACTGCATTGCCTAGGCTGCTCTCGGGAGAGTTTCTTGGCAATAAGGAGCTAACTCTTGAGTGGGCACAGTGATTGGGCCAAGAGTCTTTTTTTCCATTAAGTTAATTGGTACTTTTAGGTATAAAGTACAGTTACATTCATCATTGGGATCTTGTACCTGTACATAACTCATTGGTTCCTATTTTTTTCCATTCCCCTGCCCTTCCTTCACCCCCTGCACCCTACCTATTTACAAACACTTTGTTTCCATGTTTTTCCTTTTCTCATATTTTTGCTTTTCCCTTCTTTCCTCACCCCTACCCCTCCCACTTCCTCTATCTCCTTTAGAACTTTTTTTCCCAATTTCATAATATCAATTACACATTTTGATCCTATTTACACTTTTATATTTTCACACCAGTGAAGCTATTCAGGATTTACACATATGTGTTCTAGTAATTTCACTTAAGAGTATGGCCTCATGTGCATCCAATTTTTGAAGTATGACCCAGGTGCAGCCGAAATATATTCAGATTTTGTGGGGTGGAACACTCTGTAGACATCTATTAAGTCCATTTGTTCAAAAGCTTGGTTCAGTTCTAGTATTTTGTTATTGATATTTTGTCTAGATGATCTGTCTATTTGTGACAGTGAGTATTGAGGTCCCCCACTACAATTGTATTAGTGCTTATTTGGTTTTTCATGTCTCTAAATATTTTTTTGTATAGTTGAGGGCATTAGTATTTATTTGGTGCATATATATTTATGACTGTCATCTCTTCCTCTTGGATTGTTTCCTTTACCAGGGTGTAATGACCTTCTTTGTCTCTCTTAGTTACTTTTTGTTTGAAATTTACTTCGTCTGCAAATAAGATTGCTACCCCTGCTTTTTTTCTGGGCTCCTTTCACATGGTGAACTGTTTTCCATCCTTTTATTTTCAGTCTATGAGTTTCTTTTTTAACTGGGTGTGTTTCTTGTATACAGCATATTGTTGGATTTTGCTTCTTAATCCATTCTGCCAGTCTATTTCTTTTGATTTATGAATTGAGGCCATTAACATTGACAATTATGACTGATACGTATTGACTTATCATCATCATGTTATTTTCCTGTTGTTGGTTTTTATTTTTTATTTTTCCCCCCTCTCCCTATAATTTCTTGCCTTGTCTGATGGATTTGCTCTGTTTGGCCTCACGGAGTTGTGACCTTGACATACAGATAAGTGAAGCACATAGGACTCCAACTAGCCATGATCAAAAAAAGTCTATACCTGGACATACAAGAGTCAAGATCCCGGAAACCCAACAGAAGAACAAAATACTGCAAGAGTCCTTTGATTGGCCAGTTTCTCCACTTTCCCACTAAAAATAAAGGAATGTTTGAGATTCTGGAAAAATCAGGGATCTGAAACCTTTCACAGTGAAATAATCAAAGACATAAATAAAGCACCAAATACATGCTAGGTGTTAAAAACCAGGTCAAAGATATCCAGCTCACCACCTCCATAAAGGGTGTCAGCACCAAACACGAGGAGCCATGTCCTCAGCTGTCCTTCCTGTGGCCTGATGCTCTCTCCCTCCTCACACCCCATGAGAGCTGGCAGAATCTCTCCAGAGCTGTTGGTGCAAAGGGGCCGTGAGGTGACACTCAGTCCTTTCTCCACTGGAAGCGCACTCATGACACCGCCATGTGCCTTAGTGCTGTCATGTGGCAGCCCAGGCACCGGGGACACCACCGATTGGGACATGAAATTGGTCCAGGGCCATTTCCTCCAGACACCTCGGAACTCAGGCAGCCTCTAAAATAATAATGAGAAGATGCCTTGTTTATGAGTGACTCAGCCAGCATGGCTGCAAATATTTGTTCTCGGTCATTCTGAGACTTCCAGTACGTCTGGTCATAACTGAAAGCAGTTTGAGCACTGCTTTCTGCAAAGCAAATTCCTGAGGCAGTGGATGGCGAGCACAGTCCCTTAACCACATCATAGATCTGCAGAAAATATATTCTTTTGTATTTGGCAAAGAAACAAGCATGTAGGCAAACACTCTTCTCCCAAAAGGCCAGCTTCCCTGGCCACAGCCAAAGGGGACCAAACATACAAGAGAAGACATTCGCCAGGGTAGGTGAGGTGGAGTGCGGAGGGTGGATGGGCAGGCACTGCATTTCAAGCTTTGCAGACGGACACTTTAGATGTCCCTGTCTCTTTGCTCGTTTGCATCCTGAATTCAGGTGTGGTTGGGAAGCATGGTGCTGTGTTGGAAAGAAGAAAGCATGAGATTTTTAAAAAGCCCCAGTCTAAAGGCTGGGTTCACTGTGTGTTTACTACCCCCTTGGTGATGATACCATAACCTGCTTAGTCTCTTTCCTCATCGGCTTAGAAGGGAAAGTGTAGGAGGTCACTGCCATGGAGAGTCCACACAGCTCACTTTGACTGCAGAACCACAGAGCGGATGTGGATCTCGGTCCATCCCATCCACTGTAATACCCTACGTGCCTGGAGACAAAGTCCGTCATGAGGGAGGGAGGACCGGGCCCAGTTCTCTCTGGCAGAAGGACTCAAGGTGTGGCACTGTCCACATCTTCCAGGAGAGAAGGTTAAGCCACCTGTGGCTGGAGACGGAACAGGCTCAGGACTGTCAGCCAGGGACAGTTCACATTTGACCCTCACCAACCTAGAAGCTTAGCATCTCGGTGCCTGGCCCACCCCCTGTCCAGACACTGTGAGCCCAGTCACACATCCTAAGAGAACAAGATGGCAGCAGAGCTGGGAGAGAGGAGGCCCACCTTCCATGCAGACCCAGGCCCTGTCTCTGCCTCTCTGCGTATGAAGGAGCTCCGTGGACATATTTGTCTATTCCATGCGCAGAAATGCAGTTTGCATAATATTAAATGTGGAAAGGACACTGCATCCACTGACAGGAGGTTTCCCAGCTGGAAAAAAAAAAATGAAAGTAAGACACAAACCAGCTTTACATTTTGGAGTAAAAATAAAGATGCCAACACCACGTGCCAGGTTTTGGTGGGGTAGTGAAGGCCACGTCTGAGGTCAGGACGTACTCCCAGATCCAAAGGACTGCTGGATGGATTTCCAGTCAACACTGCTGGCAGCTCCAGGGATGGCTCTTTTGGTGAAAAGGATGTGCTGGAACAAAATGTGGGCATCCAGCCAAGACACAGTTCTTCCTTTAAAACAAAACATGCACGTGTCAAGATGCCAGGAACCACGCCTGAGAGTTCAGGCTCCCTGCTCCTCAGCCTCCCTGAAGGAGGGGCCGCAAGAACAAGATGGCTTGGACCGAAGGTGCCCTCTGGGGAACTGTGGATGTATCCCAGCCCGAGTCCCCAGTCAGTCTTTTCATTCAGGTACCTTTGGCAGCTTGCTCCAAAGCTCCAGGCCCCTCCAAATTTATAAAAGCAAAGACACAGAAGCACAAGACCAGGGTATGCGGAAGGAAGCCCATCGGGGACATTCTTCCCCAGCCCCAGAGGGCCCTTCTCCTGGACTCCCGCTGCTGCTCAGACTCACACCAGCCTCAGCTCCTTCTCCTCCCGGGCTCCTGGAGCCCCCCCCATGGCTCTGGGAGCTGTAGGTATGTACTGTGTGGCCCAACAGCACGCACGCGGCATGACCCCAGCCCCTTCCCGTGCTGAGGGCAGTCCTCAGAGTGGCACATGGGCACCACCTGGCCTGGTTAGCAATATGGACCCAATGACTCAGAGTCCGCAGGTTTCCCAGTTGCCCCGACGATCCAAGTGCATGCACAATGAGTCTGAGAAGCCCTTCCCAGGGGAGCCCACAGGCCCCTCACATTTGGGCCCTGCAGAGAGGAAAGCAGATGGGCAGTGAAGCCTGAGTGGTGAAGCCCTCCTCCTGTGGCACCCGCAAGTCACAGCCCAAGTTTGGGTTAGGGCGCTCTGAGTACAGAATGCACCTTCCCCGGACTCCAGTTCTCCGCACAGCCAGCCTCTGCGCATGCTCTCCCCGCCCTAACAGCGCCCCACAGAGGGAAGTCTGCGGAGGGCAAATCCAGGATGACTTAAGGCCGGACCTCCACGTTCAGCTGACAGCGAAAAATAATCAGGCCTTGGGTTCCTGCTTGTGGATTTTGACCTTAACCAGAGCCCAGCCTTACCTGCTCTGGGTCAGGTACGGTGGGCTGAACTGGAAGTTGCAGACAGAAATGTCCCTCGGGTGGGTCAGCAACTGCTGGCCCACGCCCATCCCCACCCTGTCCCGCCCACACTTCTTCCCAAGCCGCTGCTCTCTTTGCTCTCTGGAATCTGGAGAATTGATGAGCTCATCGCCAGGCAGAGCACCAAGCTCAGCAGATGTTCCAGCAAGGGGGCCAGGAGAGCGGCGCCTGCAAGGCTTGCAGGCCTGCGGCCTCCGCCACGCTCGGCGATGACCACAAGCACAACTTCGAGCCGCAGGGTGGCGAGGCAGAAGCAGGCTTTGGAGCCCAGGCCCTGCACCATTAAGAAAATAACCCTGTACAAAAAGGGAAAAGAAAAAAATGTCAGAGAATGAAAAGATGAAAATAAAATGCTTGTAGATGGGGAGGGGAGGAGGGGGTGAAGGGAGGGCAGAGGTAAGGGGAAAAAATGAGAATCAAGACTTGTCATGTAGAGGTACAAGATCCCAACAATGAATGTAACTGTACTGTATCCCTAAAATGTACCAATAAACTCAATTAAAGCTGAAAAA